GATATGTTACTTTGGAGAAGAGATTTTGCTTTTGTTTCCACAGGAAATGAGAAGCTGTTGATTCATTATGAATTAAGAAAAGTCAGGTTCGATCAAGGAAGACAACCTGAGAAATCTCAGATAGGAACAGATAGCCCAGATGTCTGAGTTCTACATCTAGAACAGATTCAAGATGCTTCCTGAGATGATCAAGCCTCACAGGATACTCCAGTCAGGATTTGATCATAACTCTAAATTTTCTTTAGGTCCCCATAAGATTATCAGCACCCCCCCCAACCAGCAGGAAGTAGCCTGGAAAACTATGCTCACATTCCCAAAAATTGGACTATGGATATTTTCCTTTATTAAAAAAAAGTGGAAGATGTGGTGCGGGATAAATGTCTGTATTCTGTCAATTATGTTTTAAACAAATGCTGATTGGCCAGGCAGGAAGTATAGGTGGGTCAACCAGACAGGAAGTAGAGGTGGAGCAAAGAGAACAGGAGTATTCTGGGAAGCAGGAAGTTCCCTCCGCACTCCTACCCAGACCCCCGAGGAAGCAGGATGTGAACTGCCCCTCTAAGAAAGGTACTGAGCCATGTGGCTAACATAGATAAGAACAATGGGTTAATATAAACTACTAGAGCTAATAAGTAGCCTGGGTTAATGGGCCAATCAGTTTATAACCTAATGTAGACTCTCTGTGTGATTTTCTTTGGGGGCTTGCCGGCTGTGGGGTACCGGGTGGGACAGAAACCCCAGAGTGGTGCCCTCCAACATGGTAACGAACTTCACATAAAACCTGAGAGGGCTTGAAAAGGAATTCTAGACACACACACACACACACACACACACACACACACACAGAGTTTAACACAGCTTTTTGCTGTTTGCTGGGGTGTTCTGCAGAGAGATTTCCTGACTCAGCAGCTGCACAAAAAAGCCACACAGTTTTAAAATGTGGCTTCCTGGGCCCTGCCTGGGCCCTGCCACTGGTGTTTGGGTGATCGGGAGGAAAGTAGCTGAGACCCTTGGCTCAGCTCTTCTTACCTGGGCAGATGGCAGAATCAGGATTGGGCAGGTAGGAGAGCATGGCAGATTTCTGTCGCTATACAGAGAGCTGTTTCCAGGCTGCACAGTGCTCTGTGTCACAGATTTGGATGTAACTCAGATTCAAAACTCATTCTCAGAGTTAAAGTGCTGAGTGCGGCTCCTACCTGGAGGAAAAGGGGAAAAAAAGCCACATAGTTTTAAAACGCTGCCTGCTTTCTGGGCTATGCTCCTAGTGTGACCTCTGTCTCTTGCAGGAGACAGAGAATTTGGATGGGGTCTGTGAGTAAAATGCTATGGCTTGCTTGATGGCAATATGGACTTGCTGTGTTCCTGGGACTGTGGGCAGCTCAGGGACACCAAATGGCTGAGGCAGGAGCTCTGCCATGCTGAACTATGCTGAACTCAGGCAGGAACTGTCGTAATCATAATAACAGCATAGTTAAGGTTTAGACTGGGCAGGAAATAGGTGGTACCGTATTACCCCTGCATGGGGCAACTTAAGTTTTTAATAAGTGCTTAGCATTTTAAGAACTGCTCCTGGATAGTAAAGATTTACAGATTCACAATAGGACAGATTCAGACATAAAAAGACCTCTAAATGGGTCACAGTGTTGTATGGGTATACGTAGGCTTGGGAGAGAGAAGAAAAAGAATATAGAGAATAAAGTTAATGCCTTAAAAAAGGTAAAATATTTAAAGAGATAGAGTACAGATAGTTTTAGATTAAAAGAAATAAAGAAAAATAAGCCACATAAAAATGGAAAATTCACAGAGAGTCTGGATTATGTTTATTGTGCTTTCTTTGAAATTTTTGACTGCGAAGGAGCTGAATACAGAGAGAAAGCATTGTGTGGTCTGCTAAGCTGAACAAGCATATATTTTCTAAAGGTATCATGACATACAAATTTAGGTCTGAGGATATGGTGCTTTGAAAAAAAGGATGAGACCCTGTGGATTACTTCTAGACCAATATGGTATGATAGACCACACCCTCCTGAAAGGTTGCTGTGAACATCCTCAAAATATTACTTTGCTCAACTGCTGACTGAGAGGAACCTAGCAAACAGGATATACCATGAAACACCTGATTAACAGCTCCCCCATACAGCAGGAAGCAGGTTGGAAAGAAATAACTGCGCCCATATTCCCAAACATTGTTTATAAATGTTCTTTTACATTTAAAGGGGGATATGATATAGATATGAATAATTTACATTGATATAAATTTTGCTGCATTGATATAATTTTAAGGTCAATTTTGTTATATGTATTTGTATTTCTGATCTTGATTAAGGTATTGTGATTATGTAATTCATTTAAAAATGTAATGTATAAAAAATGTAATGTATAATTAGGAAATACATGTTGTTAATAGATAATCATCGATAATCGTCAAATCTGTGGTCATGTTAGTTTGATTTTCTAGATATATAGAGATATATTTCAGTTAGATAGGCATTCTTCGTATCTTTCAAAGACTACAGATGGCATTTAATGTTTTAATAACTTAGGGCTTTTCATGACAATGAGACATGTCTGCTCCTGGCAGCACCAATATACTTCAAGAGGAAGATGGGCATTGAAGAGGCTGCTTATGGAGTTGGTTAGCCATTTGGGCAAGAAACTGCTCTTGCCTGGACTGATGCATAAACTGGACACAGAGATCCTGCAGAGAGAGGACTGCTAAACTTGCCTAAAGGTGAGATTATGCTTTGGGGTTCCTGTTTCATGAAAGAGTCTGCAAGACATTCTGCAGGACACAAAGAAAAGTGACTGAATTGTCTTTGAATTTTCCTGCTTCATGGAAATGTTTGCTGGATACTACGGGCCAATAAGAAGTTAGAACAATTGGACCAGGCAGTGTTTAAATGAATAGAATTTGTGTGTTGTTATTTCAGGGGTTAAGCTAGCCAGGCTCCAGAAGCCAGGTGGCAGAAACTCAGCCTGCTCTCATTACTACAGTATACCAATTTGAGTCAGGACCATGCCCCTCCCCACTATATCAAGGCTGAGCAAGGTATCCCACCACAGGGAAAGGCTCCAAAAAGCTAGTTCATGGACCCAGGATAAGTCCTGGTCCCATGGTCAGGGACCTTACAGCAGATCAAGCCACATACTGTCACACACATTCGGAGGGCTGAGAGCTTAGTTCGGTCCCATACCGATCCTAAGCTGTCAGTACAGAGTCTGTGAACTCCCACTCGATTGGGTCAGCTGTGTCTGTGGTTTTCCCAGTCATTATCTTGATCCTCCTTGCTCATAGAATCCCTCCTCCTTCTCTTCAACTAAGTTCCAGGAGCTTAGACCAGGGCTTGCTTGTAGATCACTGCATATATTTCCATCAGTTACTGGGTGTAGGTTTTATGATGGCAATCAGGGTAGTCACTAATCTGATTATAGGGGAAGATCAGTTCACACTTCCTCTCTACTATTACTAAGAATCTTAGCTGGGGGTCATCCTTGTGGATTCCTGGTAATTTCCCTAGAACCTGGCTTCTCCCTAACCCCATAATGACCTCCTCTATCCAAATATCTCTTTCATTGCTCCCCTCTCTGTCCTTCCCCCAACTTGGCCATCTCAAAACCTCATGTTTCCATCCTCCATCCCCTCTCTCTCACTCCCCCTCCCAATTTACCCAGGAGATCTTAACTATTTCCCATTTCTTGGGCCCTGCATGTGTGTTTCTCTTAGGGTTTTCCTTTTACCTAGCTTCTCTGTGGTTGTGGACTATAGCATGGTTATCGTTTACTTTATGTCTAATATCCTCTTATGACTGAGTACATAACAAATCTGTCTTTCTGAGTTTGGATTACCTCACTCGGGATTTATTTTTTGGTTCAATCCATTTGCCTGAAAACATCAAGGTGTCATTGTTTTTTACCACTGAGTAAGACTCTATTGTGTCTTTATCCATTGTTTGATTGAGGGGCATCTATGTTGTTTCCAGGTTCTGGTATTATAAATAATGCTGCTATGAAAACAGTTGAGCAAATGTCTTTGTGGTTTGATTGTGCATCCTTTGGTTATATTCCCAGGAGTGGTATTACTGGGTCTCAAGGTAGATTTTCTGAAAAAAGAACATACTGATTCCCAAAGTGGCTGTACAAGTTTGTACTCCCATCAGCAATGAAGGAGTTTTCTCCTTATTCCACATCTTCTCTAGCATAAGGTGTCATCAATGTTTTTGATCTTAGCAGTTCTCACAAGTGTAAGATGGCATCTCAGGGTCATTTTGATTTGCATTTCCCTGATAACTAAGGATGCTGAGCAATTCCTTAAATATCATTTGTATATTTGAGATTCTTCTGTTGAGAATTCTCTGTTTAGATTTGTACCCTATTTTTAAATTGTATTATTTAGTATTTTGATGTCAAATTTCTTAAGTTCTTTATATATTTTGGTGACTAGATGTTGGGTTGGTGAAGTTTTTTTTTTTCCCACTCTGTAGGTTGCTATTTTGTCTTATTGGCTATGTCCTTTGTCTTATAGAAGCTTCTCAGTTTTTGAAGGTCCCATATTAATTATTGCTCTCAGTTTCTGTGCCTCTGGCATTATGTTAGGAAGTGATCTCCTATACCCATGCATTCAAGACAAGAAAGTTCCCACTTTCTCTTCTACCAGGTTTAGTGTAACTGGAATTATGTTGAGGTCTTTGATCCACTTAGACTTTGGTTGTGAATGGGAATAGATATGGGTCTCTTGAATTCTTCTACATGTCAACATCCAGTTATAACAGTACCATTTGTTGAAGATGATTTCTTCTTTTCCATTGTACAATTTTGGCTTCTTTGTCAAATATCAAGTGTTCCTAGGTGTGTGGTTTAATATCAGGGTATTCAATTTGATTCCATTGATCCATTTGTCTGTTTTTTTAATTGTTTTTTTTTAATTTTATTTATGTATCCCTGCACACCAGAAGAGGGTGTCAGATGCCAATATAGATGGTTATGAGCCACCATGTTGTTACTGGGAATTGAACTCAGGACCTTCAGAAAAGCAGTCAGTGCTCTTAACCATTAAGCCATCTCTCCACTCCCTGTTTTTGAAATACAGGTAGGTACTTAAATTATCCCTGAAAAGAAAATATTTGACTTTAAATAAAGAGAAAATAGTTATTATATACACCATTTAAAAGTTGAGCTTAAGTTGGCCGGGCAATGGTGGCACACTCCCATTGGTCTGCTTTTATGCCAATACCAAGCTGTTTTTATAACTATAGCTTTATAGTAGATCTTGGGTTAGGGATGGTGATGTCTCTAGGGGTTCCTTTATTGGACAGGGTTGTTTTGGCTATACTGGGTTTTTTGTTTTTCTTGTATTGAGTTGAGTATTGCTCTTTTGACGTCTGTGAAGAAATGTGTTGGGATTTTAGATGGGTATCACAAATAATAAAAACCCAGAGAAAGATATTGGGGTTCAAGCTAAAGATCCGAAAAGCAAAACAACGAAGTTACTAAAGAAGTATTACTTCTACCAAGGCTGAGTGACTGCAGACTGAGCCCTGATCCTCTGTCTCCTGTCATTTTATATTCCCCGTTAGTCCTGGGATTAAAGGCATGTTACTCCCTAGTACTGGGATTAAAAGTGTGAGCCACTACCACCTGGGTCTGATTCTGCATTGATTTTGTATTGCCGAGATGGCCTTGAACTCAGATCTATCTGCCTTTATCTCCCAAATCCTAGGATTAAACTTGTGTGACACTACTGCCTGGCCTCTACTGGCTTAGTTTTACCCTCTGATCTTCAGGTAAGCATTACTCATTAAAACATAAACAGAATATCACTATATAATCCCCTTTTTGTCTAAAATTAAAAGAAAGGTTATTATTTTTAAATAAATATTTTTTAATTTATTAGATTTTTTGATTTTATTACTTTATAAATAATACCAATATAAATTTCCACTTTCTTCCCTCCTCCCACTTCCCTCCTGCTTCCCTCCCAAACCCTCCCTCCACCCCCCTCCAGCCCTAAGAGAGGGCAAGGTACCCTGCCTTGTGGGAAGTCCAAGGCCCTTCCCCCTACATGCAGGCTTAGGAAGATATGCATCCAAATAGAATAGGATCCCAAAAAGCCAGTACACGCAGTAGAGACAAATACCAGTGCCATTATCATTGGCCCTTCAGTTTGCCCCAATTGTCAACCACATTCAAAGGGTCCAGTTTGATCCCATGCTCCTTCAGTCTCAGTCAAACTGGAGTTGGTGAGCTCCCATTAGCTCAAGCACACTGTCTCAGTGGGTGGACCAAGCCCTCTTGGTCCTGACTTCCTTGCTCATATTCTCCCTCCTTCCACTCTTCAACTGGACCTTGGGAGCTCAGTCCAATACTCCGATGTGGGTCTCTGTGTCTATCTCCATCTGTCACCAGACAAAAGTTCTATGGTGATATTAAAAATAGTCATCAGTCTGACTGCAGGAAAAGGCCAGTTAAGGCACCCTCTTCTCTACTGCCCAGGGTCCTAGCTGGGGTCATCCCCGTGGACTCCTGGGAACCCCTCCAGAGCCAAGCTTCTTGCCAACCCCAAAATGACTCCCTCAATTAAGATATCTCCTCTCTGCTCCCATATCCGTCCTTCCTCCATCTCAAGAAAGGTTATTATTAATATAAGAAAAACTACACACAATAAGTACAATATCATGAAGGGGTGTTAGATTTTGTCAAAGTTTTTTTCTGCATCTAATGAGATGATCATGTGGTTTTTTTTCTTTCCGTTTGTTTATATGGTGGATTACATTGATGGGTTTTCATAAGTTGAACCATGTCTGCATCTCTGGCATAAAGGCTACTTGATCAGAGTGGTTGATTTTTCTAATGTGTTATTGGATTCTGTTAGCTGGTATTTTATCGAGTATTTTTGTATCACTGTTCATGAAGGAAATTTGTTTGTAGTTCTCTTTCTTGGTTGCATCTTTGTGTTTGGGTACCAGGGTAACTGTTACCACCTAAGAGTTTGGCAATGTCCCTTATGTTTCTATTATGTAGAACAATTTGAGGAGTATTGGTACACAATATTGTACTTGAAGTTCTAGCTAAAGCAATAATACAACAAAAGGAGCTCATGTGATACAACTTGAAAAGGAAGAAGTCAAAATTTCACTATTTGCAGATGATATGATAGTTCACATAAGTGACCCAAAATATTCTACCAGGGAATTAGTACATTTGAAAAACACCTTCAGTAATGTGGCAGGATACAAGAATAGCTCAAAAAAATCAGTATCCCTCCTATATACAGATGATAAATGGGTTGAGAAAGAAACCAGAAAATCATCACCTATCACAATAGCCACAAACAACATAAAATATCTTGGTGTAACTCTAACCAAACAAGTGAAAGACCTGTATGGCAAGAATTTTAAGTCTATAAAGAAAGAAATTAAAGAAGATATCAGAAAATTGAAAGATCTCCCATGCTTTTGGATAGGTAGAATCAACATAGCAAAAATACAAAAAGCAATCTACAGATTCAATGCAATCCCCATCAAAATGCCAGCACAATTTTTCACAATGAATGAACTCAACTTCATATAGAAAAACAGAAAAGAGGGATATAGATATAAGAAAATAAGAAGGTAGATGACTGAATCTACTTTTTAAAAATCAACTACTAGTTTTAAATATTTTACATTGGATTGTACTTTTGTATCTTGTATACAAATTTTGTATATTAATACAATTTGAGATTACTTTTGTTAGAACAGGCGGTACATTCATTTCTACTCTTGTTCAAGGTATTGTACCTATGTAACTAATTTAACAATGTAATGCAAATCTCTAGTTCTTGAAAGATATTATTACCAAGTGTTTAGAATAGTAGGGAAATGCAGGTTATTAATCAGCCATCTATTATAATTAAACTTACAGTCATATTAGGTATGTTTTCAAGGTCAAACAGTAATGTATATTAGATAGACAGGTTGTCTTCAAATATTTCAGAGACCTACAGAATATGGCATTTAGGATGTCTTAATAACATAGGTTCTTTTTTCTTCTTTTTACAGCAATGAGATGTGTTTGCTCCTGGCAGCACCAATTAACTTCTGAGATGATGATATACTTTGAAGAAACTCCACATGGAGTTTACTTCCTTTCTAGCAAAATAAGCAACTAGGCAAGAAAGTGTGCTCACCTTGATTGCTGATGTTATGCTGTCCAGACTGGACAAGAAAGACACAAAATAGAATGACTGCCAAACCCTGGCAAGACAAGGTGAGACAGTCCTTCAAAAATTTTGCTTTAGGGCCGTCCCGCAGGTACCCGAACGGCTGCTGGGTAGCCGGGCGGCTGCGGACGCCCGTGTGCCGTGAGACCCGACCGCACATGCTATCAGATCCTTTATATTTAAAATACACAGAAATGAAGAGAAAGGTAATGAACACTGGAAAACTGAGATTGAGTCCTAATGAGGAAGCCTTCATTTTGAAGGAAGATTATGAAAGAAGACGGAAACTAAGATTGCTTCAGGTTCGCGAACAAGAAAGGGGCATTGCCTTCCAGATCAGAGAAGACATAAAACAGAGGCGAAATCAGCAGTTTTCGTGTTTGGCTGACGAACTAAGGGCAGAATGGGAAGAAGCACAAAGCCAGAAAATAGAGAACTTGGAAAAACTGTATCTGGCAAGTTTAAGACATATGGGAGAGGGACATCGACAGGCTAAAGAAAATGTGAGTGAGCTCGTCTCATCACTGCGGACGCAGGGTGCTTAGACTAAATACATGATAAGCGTGTTTTAATGTATAGAACTGGGAGAGGCAAGCTGACCTTTATTTTCTAAATCAGTTTAATCTACTGTGAGAATAATGGTATTATTTGTTTCCTTGTAAATCTGCCAAGTACACCTTTCTTCCTCTGGTGTTCAAGTTAACATTATTTCTTCCGATTCTTGCCTGTATAAAGACGGTAACCTATGCCATCAGAAATTGTCTGTCTCAAGCAACTTGAGTAGATTGAGGGACTCAATTCAGATTCATTCCTACCACCTCTAAATACATATTAGTGAATATGTATGCACTTGTATTTCGTTGGTGGCTTTCCTAAACGCAAGTAAAGCTAAGTGTTTCAACAGAGCCTTGAGTTCATTTGTGCTTATTGTAATTTATGGCTAGAAAATAAAAAAAGAGACAGGAGGACTTCCTTAAGTTCAGAGGCAGCTTGGTCAATATCGTAAGTTACAGGTCAGCCAAGGCTACATAACAGAACTAAATAAAAAGGGGAGGGAGGGAGAGATGAAAGAAAGAAATGCTAGTTGGTCATTCCAGAGTCAGTGACACAATAAACAGGCTGGCTCCAAAAAAGACAAATCTTTAATTACTAAGGAAAAGAAATACCTTGAAGTGATGTGGCATCTTGGTTTCTGTGTGTTTTTTACCAACAGCTATAAGTTCTAATGTTATTTTGTTTATTTATCTATCTGTTTATTTATTTATTCATGCTTTTTTCAGATCAATATTGTCCTTGTGTTTAATTTTTTCCCAAGCCTAACTCATTTAAAGGACACCCATATGATTTTTGCAGACCAGAGAACCTCTTGTATTACTATAAATTGAATGTTTTAGTTTAAATAAAATATTTTAGTGGTTAATTTAAAAAAAAATTTTGCTTTATATAAAAGTCTGTTGAATATTCTAGGCCTGTAGGTCAAAAATGGATCCCCAACATTGCAGAGGAATCTTAGGTGACTGTTCAGGTAGCCAGCTGTTTCTGTCAGTTCTCACATTTTTTGGGGAAATCAGTTGCTCACATTTCATGATTACTAGGTTCATATTATTTTCTTCTCAGGTCTCTGAGGGAGATGAAGACTAGATAGTTACAGTTTTTCTTGTTTACAACTCAGAAAAGAAACTCACTAAATAGGTGTAAAGTGTATAATGTTAATAGACATTAAAGGGTAGTTTTGGATTTTAATTCAAGTTATGATAGGAAGTAAATTAGGTACAAGTCTTTGGATTCACATAGGTAGGATAGATAATAGAGTATTTTCTCTGAATTTGTGAAATGCAAATGGAATAGATACTTTTGATATGTTTATCACCTGTATATTATATATAGTTATCATACTTATTGTTTACAGTTTTTCTTATATTAGTTATAGCCTTTTTTATTTCAGACAAAAGAGAGAAAATGTGATTTTTATCTGTGATATAACAAATAAAGCTTTCTTGAAGGTCAGAGTGCAGAATTAAGCCACTAGTTAGCCACAGAGGTTAGGTAGTGGTGGCACACAGCTTTAATCTCAGCACTTGGGAGACAGAGGCAGACATATCTCCATGAGTTCAAGGCCATCCTGGGCCACATGAGATATAATCTGTCTAAAAAGAAAAGCAGATCTAACACAAAGGTGATCCCAGCACTTGGGATTATATGTCTTTGATCTCAGCACTAGGGAGGTGGAGATAGGAGTGACATGGTTGAGTGGAGAGAGAAATATAAGGCAGGAGGAGACAGGAACTCAGGGAAGTCTAATGATTCTTAGACATGTATGCAATCTGAGGTTTTGAAGAGACAGCAGAAGTCTTAGGATTCATAAAGATAGAATCATCCCTTTGGTATGAGCATTGGTAGAAGTAAGAAGTTTATAATGGTTGGTTGCTCTGCTTCTCTGATCTGTCAGCATTCACCACCTAATATCTGACTATAGGATTTTATTATTAAGAACAATTAGAATTTGTTCTACAGCTTTGTTACAGAGTATGTCATCAATTTGAGAAAAGGTTCCAGGAGGTACTGAGATAAAGATAAATGTTTTTGTGTTTGGGTGAAATGTTCTATAGGTATCTGTTAAGTCCATTTGAATCATACCATCTGTGAGTTCCCTTGTTTCTCTGTCAAGTTTCTGTCTGAATCACCTGTCCATTGGTGAGAGTGGAGTGTTGAAGACTCTCACAATTAATGTGTAGGGTTTGGTGTGCAATTTGAGCTATAGAAATGTTTCTTTTACAAATGGGGTGCCCTTGTATTTGGGGCATTGATGTTCAGAATTGAGACTTCATCTTGATGATTTTTTTTCCTGTGATGTATATGTTTGTGTCCTTCTCCATTTCTTTTGATTATTTTTAGTTTCAAGTCTATTTTTTAAGATGTTAGCAAAGATACACTTGCTTGTTTCCTAGGTCCATTAGATTGTAAAATATTTTCCCAGCCTTTTACTCTGAGGTAATGTCTGTCTTTGAGGTTGAGGTGTGTTTCTTGTATGTAGCAGAAGGAATGTGTCCTATTTTTGTACCCATTCTGTTAGCCTGTGCCTTTTTATAGGTGGATTGAATTCATTGGTATTAAGAGATATTGACCTGTGATTGTTAATTCCTGTTATTTTTAGTTTTGTTGCTTTTGTTGGAAGTGTTTTTGTGTTTTCTTTGGGATTTGCTGTTGTGAGGTTATCTATTGCTTGTATTTTCATGGGTGCAGCTAACTTCCTTGGGTTGGAGATTTCCTTTTAGTACTTTCTGTATGGCTGTATTTATTGATAGGTATTGCTTAAATCTGGTTTTGTCATGGAATATCTTGTTTTCTCCATCTATGGTGCTTGAGTAGAATAGTCTGGGCTAGCATCTGTGGTCTTTTAGTCTGCAGATTGTCTGTTCAGGACCTTCTGGCTTTCAGGGTTTACATTGAGAAGTCAGGTGTAATTCTGATAGGTCTGACTTTATATGTTGCCTACACTTTTTCTTTTGCAGCTCTTAATATTCTTTCTTTATTCTGTATGTTTACTGTTTTGATTATTATATAGTGAGAGAACTTTTTATTTGATCCAGTCTATTTGGTGTTCTGTAAGATTCTTGTACCTTCATAGACATATCCTTCTTTAGGTAGGGAAAGTTTTCGTCTATGATTTTATTGAATGTTTTCTGTGCCTTTGAGTTGGAGTTCTTCTACTTCTTCTATCTACATTATTCTTAGGTTTGACCCTTTTTAAGGTGTCCCAGATTTCCTGAATATTTTAAGAATTTGTTGGCTTTAACATTGTCTTTAACTGATGAATATATTCCCTCTGTTGTATCTTCAATGCCAGAGAGACTGCTTTCCATATCTTACATTCTGTTTGTTATGCTGGCATCTGTAGTTTTTGTTCATTTACACAGATTTTCCATTTTCAGAATTTCCTTGGTTTGCATTTTCTTTATTGCTTCTACTTCAATTTTCAAGTCTTGAACTGTTTACTTCACTTGTTTGATTGTTTTCTCTTGGGGTAAAGAAAGTCCAGCAGCAGGAATACACCCCCCCCCCAGATGGACAGAAAAGGTTAGGGAACTTGGGGGCCTGGATTCCGTCCCTCTAGGGACACTTCTGACTGTCCGGCTGTGTGGCCAGACTCACCCCTCCGGTCCCCTCAGCACTGGAGCAGGCTCTGTTTCAGAGTTCCAAGAACCTCACAGATGAAAAGGCGGGCTTGAAGGCACGGTGAGATGGGGTAAAGAAAGCCTAGCAGCAGGAACACACCCACTGGATGACCAAAAAAGCTTAGGGAGTTGGCAGGGTGGCCTGGATTCTGTCCCACTGGGAAGGTCCCAGAGAGTGGCACTTCTGGCTGCTGTGTGGCCACTAACTCATCTCTCCAGTCCCATCAGCACTGGAGCAGGCTCTGTTTCAGGGTTCCAAGTGCATATGAAAAGGACTCCCCCTTTAAATTTAAACATTTATGAACAAAATTTGGGAATATGGGCATAGTTCTCCAAACTACTTCCTAATGTTTATTGAGCAAAGTAATTTTTGGGGTGTTCATGGTGACCTCTCATGGGGTCATGGTCTATCAAACTATAGTAGTCTGGAAGCAACCAACAGGTTCTTAACCTCTGTGGAAACAAAAGAAGATCCTCTATTCCAAAGCAGCATATTCTTAGACTCAAATTCTGAAATCAAGATACTTTTATGTTGGTTTAACTTATCAGAACGTACAATGAAATGTCTGTCTGTGCTTAGCTCCTTCACAGTCAAAAAATTCAAAGAAAACACAGTAATATACATAGTCCAGACTCTCTGTGAATTTTCCAACTTTACATGGTTTATTTGCTTTTAGTCTATTACTTTTTAATATTTATTTTATTATCTTTACTCCTTTATCCTACGACTATCTGTAAACCATTTACTTCTTTTTTTTTTATAATTGTCTATATTCTTTTTCTTCTCTCTCCCAAGCCTACGTACATTTATATAACACTGTGACCATTTAGAGGTCTTTTCCATCTGAATTTGTCTTTATTGTATATCTCTAATTATTTTCTAACCAGAAGCACTTCTAAAATGCTAAGCCCTTCTTATAAACTTAAGCTGCACCATTGCTAGGGGAAATATGACACTTCCTGTTTGTCCCACCCATACCAGCATGGCAGAGCTGCTTGCTGCCCCCAAAAGCCATGCACAATGCCCCGTCTCTAGGAACACAGCAGGCCCACGTTCTCACCAAGCAAGCTGTTGCACATTGCTCACCAACCCCATTCAAATAATCATTTTCCTGAAAGAGCCAGAGGTTGTGCTGGCAGCATGGCCCAGAAAGCTGGCTTTTCAAAGCAGCACGGCTTTTTTTCTGCTACTGCTGAATCAAGAAAAATTCTCTTAAGGGAGCTGTGGCAAGCTGCCAGCTGAAAAATAAATGCAGCTAAACTTTTTTTTTTCGTGTGTGTGTGTGTATGTGTCTACAATTTCTTTTCAAGCTCTCTCAGGTTTAAAGTGGATTTTAGTTGGCCATGTAGACACCAATTTGTTGAAGGAAAGCTGCTTGTTTGTCCCAGTCACCCAGACCCAAAATAATCACATAGAAACTGTATTAATTAAATCACTGCTTGGCCCATTAACTCTAGCTTCTTATTTGCTAACTCTTACATATTAAATTAACCCGTTTTTATAAATCTGTGTATTGCTACAAGGCTGTGGCTTACCGGCTAATGTTCTGGTGTCTGTCTCCAACCAGGCTACATGGCTTCTCCCTGACCACCTTCCTTCTTCCAGCATTCAGCTCAGCCCTCCCAACCTAGCTAACCTCTGCCAGGCTATAGGTTCAAAGCAGTCCTTTATTAATCAATGGTATCCACAGCATACAGAGGGAAATCCCACATCATGCTCATCTATATTTATCAATTACCAGGTATCATTGTAGTTCAAAGATGAGAATCTAGCTAAGGTTTTGTGGTTTTAATAATGACTTTCACTTGCCAATTGTACAAATGTATTTAACTATATGCTGTTGTTTTGGTTTATTAGAAAGAATTCATAAGCTATTTAGTAATAACATTTTTTCTGAGCATTTTAGTAGAGAACTAATCAGACAGCAATCTAAATATGGATATTTTTATTAAAAGCACAAGATTTTACCTGACTTGGATTTTAAAAAATGATGGATAACGATCAAAATTGTAAAGGCCTCTGAACATTAACTCCTTACCACTCTAGTGCTAATCCTTTGAACACATTTCCCAACAGAAGCTTCAAAGTATATAATGTTTGGTTCTCCTAGCCTTTCTAGTCACTTTTTACTTCATAATGTTGAAGACAGCTCAATTAAATAATTAAATGTTTGACTTTTTCCATTTTTTGCCTTTGATGATACCATAAAATCTTTAAGTTAATTTGAGTGATCAACCTTATATTT